GTGCGCTGTCACGGTGGGTGTCAGTGTCCTCTGTGCGCTGTCACGGTGGGTGTGAGCGGGAGTGTCCTCTGTGCGCTGTCACGGTGGGTGTCAGTGTGCTCCGGGCGCTGTCACGGTGGTGTGAATGTCAGTGTACCTCTCTGCACTACTACTGTGAGACAGAGCAGGACACGGCACTTTGGGTCCACAGGGGGCCATGCACTGACCCCTCTGGGCCCCCTCACTCTCCCACAGCCCACCCTGTGTGGTAGGGAACGATGCCCATGGAGTGGGCATAGCAGGGACCACTTACCAGTCCTAGCTCAGCTTAGCTGGTGACCAGAGGGAGAGGAAGTGGATGTGAGATTCCCCCACTTTACGCATGTGTGCACTGGAGGGAAAGTGCAGAGATGGGGTCAGTCAGGTCTACAGACTTGGCCCTGGACAGGCAATGCTGTGCAAGCCGTGGCCACGTCCTGACACCTCAGGTGTAGAAAAGTTCTGCCTGGTCCCCACACAGAAGTTGGGGAGCTGCTCCCTGTCACTTTTGGGAGTGTGGCCTTGATGACAATTCCCTGTCACAACACTGTCTACACAGGAAAGCAAAGCACAGATGTGACCTGACTCCCCAGACAGCAGCCCCCAAAATGTCATTACTCTCCACTGCACAGGCAACGGATCTGTGGCTGTCAAGGCGGGGTGGGGGTTGAATACAAACAGCCGAGGGAATCCTGAGGGCGAGAGAAGGACTTGGACCGTGGCACTGATCGTGTGACTACACACGTGCGGTAATTCACTGAACCACACAGCTGAAGAAGGTAGACTTATCACGTGACTCACGCCTCAGCAAAGCAACTTAAAGCAAAACTCACACTGCTGACCACGGCGGGTTCCTCGTCGGCACAGGCGTGCTGCAGGGCCCGCAGGATGGGCTCTAGGTGCTGCGTGGTGTGGTCCTCCGCGTGCAGCAGCAGCACGGCCAGCAGCTGTGCAGCCTTGACCCTGGTGCCCACCACCCAGTCGGTCAGGTCCCGACAGAGGCCTGGCAAGATCTTGGACAGGTTCCTGAAGATGAGCTCCCGGCAGCCCAGTCCCGGGCGGCTCTCTGCAGGTCAGAGAAGAGCAGAGACTTAAAGTCCACAAATAACACCTCAAAGATTCATACAGAAAGTACACTGCTACTACACCTTATTTAAGACATACCTGTCCTCAGACCCAAAAAGTTAGAAATAGGTCTAACATCAGAAATTAAAAAGTATGATTTTTATAGCCCTGTGAGGTGCGCACGACACATGCGTTCACGGCCACCTGAGTATGAGGCCCGCACGCTCACAGCCGTCTGGGGTACGAGATGCACACGCTCAAAGCCATCTTGAGGTGCACATGGCGCACACACTTACAGCTGTCTGATGTGCACACAGCCCACGTGCTCACAGACATCTGGGGTACAAGAGGAGCACATGCTCATGGCTGTCTGAGGTGCAAGAGGAGCACACGCTCACAGCCATCTGAGGTACAGGCGGCATGCTCACAGCCGTCTGAGGGACACGCAGAATGCTCACGGCCATCTGAGGTACGTGTGGCCCACACTCATAGCTGTCTGAGGTACGAGGCCCACACACTCATGGCTGTCTGAGGTACGTGCAGCCTGCACACTCACGGCCAAATGAGGTATGAGGTGCACACGCTTACAGCCGTCTGAGGTACGCACGGTCCACATGCTTACAGCCATCTGAAGTACACATGACACACAAGCAACTGCACATGATGAAAGAGTGCACAAGTTCTAACATGCGAACACACCTGCAAACCCACTACCACACGAATACCGTGACCACGTGCCCGCCACACCCAGAAGGTTCCTGGTGACTGCCTTTAGCACCGCCTCCCTCTTGCCCCGCCCTCAGTGTCCTCAGGCCCCCACTGCTCTGCTTTCTGGCCCCAGGCTGCATCTTCTGGGATTTCAATAAATGGGCTGGTGCAGCACACACTTGCTGTCAGGCTTCTTCTGCTCAGCATAAGCATTCCGAGATTCTCACGCTGCACGAATACTCCCGTCCTCTTTACTGCTGAGCACAGTGCTGTCTGCCCACCAGTCACCTGCTGAGGGACACCTGGGTGGTTTCCAGTTTCCAGCAAATCAAGTTGTGATGAATGTTTGTGTGTAAGTCTTCGTAACCGTAAGCGTGCATTTCTCTTGGGTCAGACCTAAGAGTGGAGTGGTTGGCTCACATGGTAGGTGTGTGTTTAACTCTCAGAAACTGTCAAACTCTTTGCCAAAGTGGACGCATCATTGTACACTGCAGTTCCTCCACATTCTTGCCAATGCTCGGTATGGTTTGTGTTTTAAACCAATGGCACAATGGTTAAAGCATGCAGCTGCTAACCAAAAGATCAGGGATTTGAACACAACAGACGCTCTGTCTGAGAAAGATGAGGCAGTCGGCTTCTGTAAAAAGTGACAGCCTTGGAGACCCAGTGGGCAGTTCCACTCTGTCCTCTAGGGGCGCCGTGGGTCGGAATGGACTCCACGGCAATGGGTGTGTTTTGGGCTTTGCTTCCGTGAAGAACTGACAGTCTTGGAGACCCCATGATGCAGTTCCACTGTGAGTCGGTGCTGTGAGTTGGAATGGACTCCACGGCAGTGGCTGTGGTTTTGGTAACAAAGTGAACAAGCATCTCCTGCAGTGTTGATCTGTGTCTCCCCGGTGGCAGTGAAGGGTGACCCTGAGCATCGCATCGTGGGCTTGTATGCGAATCCTCTCCACTGCAGTCTCCTCCGACCCCTCCTGCCTCCTATAACCCTGGGCTGTCTCCTTATTCTGAGTGGTGCAGTTCTTCACCCAGTTGCTGCAGCAGTGGACCGACCCTCTCCACATGTGAGCGTGGTGTCTGACCCTATTCAGCGGAGCTTCCACACTAAGCGAGCCTGGGTAGAAAGGCCTGGTCGTCCCCTGAGGATGAGCCCGGGAGCACCCTGTGGACCCTACGGCCTGACTCTGCAGATCACAGGGATGGTGCAGGACGGACAGCGCTGTGTGCCGTGGCGCACGGGGCCCAGCTGGCTGCAGCTCTCCGCAGCAACGGCAACCATGGGTCTGCTCGTCCAGCCTCTGCCCGCCCACGCGGGCGCCAGGCTGTCCTGACCACCACCCGCGTCCGAGTCTCGGGTCCAGGGAGTGCCCACACGGGCACCAGGCTGTCCTGACCACCACCCGTGTCCGAGTCTCGGGTCCAGGGAGTGCCCACGCGGGCGCCAGGCTGTCCTGACCACCACCTGTGTCCGAGTCTCGGGTCCAGGGAGTGCCCACGCGGGCGCCAGGCTGTCCTGACCACCACCCGTGTCCGAGTCTCGGGTCCAGGGAGTGCCCACG